TTAAATGTCTATAATGTACAAAGACCAGCCTTAAGCATGCACACAAAGATACACAAACATACATACATGTACCATTAATACTGACAAAAGCTAATAGTTATGTCAAAGCTATGTAAGTGACAAGTTTCTCTTTTTATCACTTATTCAAACTCTTTGTATCATCTAATTTCAAATACTATACCAATATTTAGAAGCTATTTCTATTGGATTTATTATTTCAAGATTTACCTGAGGTGATGTATAATAAAACTTTTGTGACTTCTGACTTGTTTTTTATACTCTTTAATCAGTGTAGGAATGACCCTTTAATTCAACTCAGATCTGGTGTTAGATTCTGAAGTCCTGGGGCGCCTGAAGGCTCAGTTGGTTACGCAACTGCCTTCAGTTCAGGTCATGATCCTGGAGTCCCTGGATTGAGTCCCGCATCGGGCTCCCTGCTCAGCGGGGAGTCTGCTTCTCCCTCTGACTCTCCCCTCTCTCATGCTCTCTCTTTCTTTCTCTCTCTCATTCTCAAATAAATAAATAAAATCTTAAAAAAAAAAAAGATTCTGGAGTCCTTTAATTAAAATTGTATTTAGGTGCAGCCACTATGGAAAACAGTATGGAAGTTCCTCAAAAAATTAAAAATAGAAATACCATACAATCCAGTAATCCCACCACTGGGTATTTACCCCCCCAAAATGAAAACACTAATTTGAAAAGACATATGCACCTCTATGTTTACTGTAGTCTAATTTACAATAGCCAAATTATGGAAGCAACCTAGGCGTCCAACCACAGATGAATGGATAAGGAAGATGTGGTATATATATAAGGGAACATTACTCAGCCATAAAAAAGAATGAAATTTTGCCATTTGTGACAACATGGATGCACCTAGAGGCTATTATACTCAGTGAAATAAGTCAGAGAAAGACAAGTATATGATTTTACTTATATATGGAATCTAAAAAGCAAACAGAAACAGACAGACACATAAATACAGAGAACTGATGGTTGTCAGAGGGGAGGAGAGTGGGGGGGATGGGCAAAAAGGGTGGAGTGGGAGGTACAGGCTTCTAGTTGTGGAATGAGTAACTCACAGGAATAAAAGGTACAGCATAGGGAATATAGTCAATTACATTGGAACAGTGTTGAATGGTGACAAGTAGTAGCTATACTTGTGGGCACAGCATGATGTGTGGAGCTGTTGGGTCACTGTGTTGAAACTGGCATGGTGGGGCACCTGGGTGGCTCAGTCGTTAAGCATCTGCCTTCGGCTCAGGTCATGATCCCAGGGTCTTGGGATCGAGCCCCGCATCGGGCGCCCTGCTCAGCAGAGAGTCTGCTTCTCCCTCTCCCACTCCCCCTGCTTGTGTTCCCTCTCTCGCGGTGTCTGTCAAATAAATAAATAAAATCTTAAAAAAAAAAAAGAAACTGGTATGGGGTGTTGTGTGTCAACTATACTTCAATAGGAAAAAAAAAACTGCACCCATGTTAAAAAAAAAAAAATATATATATATATTTACACAGATGTGCCTGGGGTATAAGCTTTTTTTTTTAAATTTTTTTTATTTATTTGACAGAGAGAGAGGGCACAAGCAGGGGGAGCTGCTGCAGAGGGAGAGGGAGAAGTAGGCTCTCCACTGAGCAGGCAGCCCGACAAGGGGCTCGATCCCAGGACTCTGAGATCACAACCTGAGCCGAAGGCAGATGTTTAACCAACTGAGCTACCCAGGCACCCCTATGTCTGGGGTATAAAAACAAGTTGTTAGCATCATGGATAGAAAACACCAACAGGTCCCTGGGCTATTTCAGGGGCCTACTGGTATTAAAGTCAAATTAAAGAACGTGTGCTTTGTCTGCAAGAGGAAATGAACAGATAGCTAAACAACATAATGATGGCTATTGCCTTGTTGAAGACGTCGATTCTTATTTCTGGAGGCATGTATTTAAATAGTGGTGGTTGTCCTCATTAGTGTATCAAAATGTATTTGCTAGACTTGGAAAAATTATTTTTTTCTAAAAAAAGCATATGTACTTGGAGACTTTGGAGATCTGATATATTTCTCTTTGATAACTTAGTCATTTGAGCTATATAGGGGATTGGTAACCTTTTCCTATAAAGGACCAGTGAGTAAATATTTTAGGTTTTGCAAGTCGTATGGTCCCTATCAGAACTACTCAATTCAGCTGTGGCAGCACAGAAGCAGCCATAGACAATGCACACATGAATGAGCATGGCTTTGTGAAATTCAAACTTCATAGAATTTCATGTGTCATGAAGTTATTATTCTTTTGATATTTTTTTCAAACACTTAAAAATGTAAAAACCATTCTTAGCTCAAGAGCTGTACACAAACAGGTGGCGGGCCCGATCTGACCCTGGAGGCTGTAGTTTCCCAATCCCCCATATAGGAGAAAGCCCACTGGCCTGGGAGAAAGGCTATGGTTCTAGACAGAACTGAGGCCCCCACTAACTAGGCCATCTCAGCTGCTGACTTCTTTACCCTCAGCTCTATTTCCTCATATCTACACTGAAGGAGCTGGATGAGATTGGTTGTTTAAAGCCCCTTTCTGGGACACCTGGCCAGTCAGTTAAGCGTCTGCCTTTGGCTCAAGTCATGATCCCAGGGTCCTGGGATGGAGTCCCAAATCGGGCTCCCTGCTCAGCAGGGAGTCTGCTTCCCCCTCTGCCTGCCGCTCCCCCTGCTTGTGTGTGTACATGCTCACTATCTCTCTCTCTCTGACAAATAAATAAAATCTCTAAAAACATAAAAAAAAATAAAGCCCTTTTCTGCTTTGAAGTTCTATGATCAATTTTGGCAGAATAATACCGAGGAATAAGTGGCCACACGCAAGTCTCTCCTTGGAATTTCTGGGAAAGGGAATGGTGGGAACTCTTTGGGTGCCACTTATTAGCTCTCAGAACTCAGGCTGGGATGTTTCCAATTTGAGAGCACGTTATTTCTAAGACTGGGACTTGCTAGTCCTTACTGGCAAACTGTATGGAGTTTGTTTCAAGAGCATAGTTACAGAACAAAACTAAGCTAAAACTCCTTGCACAGGTACATGATCTTTCAGCTCTAAAGATTTGGGGACCAGAAAAACCTTTTTTTAAAAAATATTTTATTTGACAAGAAAGAGACAAAGCGAGAGAGGGAACACAAGCAGGGGGAGGGGCAGAGGGGGAAGCAGGCTTCCTGCTGAGCAGGGAGCCCGATGCAGGGCTCGATCCCAGGACCCTGGGATCATGACCTGAGCCAAAGGCAGACACTTAACTGACTGAGCCACCCTGGCGCCACTCAGAAAAATCATTTCAAGTCTGCACCTTCATTTCATGAACTAGAATCTAAAAATGTACATACACACCCCCCCAGCCAACCAATCAACAGACACTGAAGGAAGGTGTAGGAGTTCTGGGCCAATGTTCTAAAATGTGGTTTTATTTACCTGGAGATGAGGAAATGCAGACAGGATATTGGGGATTTTCTCTTCTAGAGCCAAAATGGTTTGGAGTAGAATCACGTCCGCAAGGCTCAGCTGGTTACCAACGAGAAACCTTTGCCCATGATCCCTTAAAACCTACAGGATACAAATGTTTTGCATTGCTTACAATAATTTATATGGAAAGACTGATGAAACTGTTGAATCAGTGCAGTATCTGAGTATTTTAAAAATAATACCAAGTAAGAGGAGATTCCCTGTATCAGAGAGAGAACGCACAAAGGGTGTAGAAATGGAACTACCGTAAAATATCTGCTTTATATCAGAATGAAACACTGAAAAGGGGAAGAAAATATTAATTCTGGATTTAGCATCCAGTGCTTTAAAAGGATACTCCCATTCCATAAATGTATCTATAGAAATGAGTTAGGGGCAACAAATTCAGGAGGCTGGGGGATGTGATGTAAGTAAGCAACAGGTCCCCTTCAAGGAATCTCATCTCATTTGCCAGCTCTGTGTTTCTACAAACATCAAGACTTGTAGTCATTAACTAGACATGACTATTAAAAAAGTAGGCTTCCTTTCATATCTTCCAAGACAGAGAAAACTAAAAGCATCAGGGCTCATCTTGAACCCCATTTTGAGAGCATGTAGGTTCAGAGATTCATAGGGATAGATAATGATGGGGAGGAGGCAAGGAACAGTGGAAGAAGCGGGGGGCGGGGGGGAGACTCCTTTGCAGCGAACTCTTGGATGCCCACAAGCGAGTGTGTGTGTGTGTGTGTGTGTCTGTGTGTGCGTGTGGTGTCTGACAGGGGATCTACATACAACATCAAATAGCTACTGAAGCCGGAGCAGGAGAGCACAATGAATCCAGAATTGTAGTCAGAGGCCTGTCTAATCCTGGCTCCCCACCTTAGGCGTGTCACTCAATCTGTCTATGATTCCATTCCATTATGTGTCCAAGGGATACCAGTTCGTAGCTGATGTGTTGGGAGGAGCCCTGACTTAGTCTGGGCCACAGGAACATAGGGACCGGCAGTGACCCTTCACTAAGGCACCTGTTTCTCCCTCATCACACCCACATTTCTACACTATCATATTTTACATTCACCAAGTGCCTGTGGGCAAGAGACTGTGACATCAAGTGACAGAAAAGCCCAGAAAATACCTCTCCTTCTTAAATCTCATTCCACAAAGATGGCCAGAGGAGATCTGCCAATTCCCTATTTTTACACTCTCTTCTTTTTTTAACTGAAACATTTAAAACCATTCCTCTCAGCTAAGAAAAAGAGTTTGAAGCTCAGAAAGGCAGATATATTAAGATGAGGAAAATAACAAAACAGGAAACAAAAAGAGCAAAGGGAAGAGAAATAAAACAACAATGGTCTTCTCATCATATCAAACTATCAGGTAGGATGTCTGATACACAACGGCCATTCCACAAATGTTTGTGGGATGAAAGAAGGAAGGAATTAGGTAGTTTCTGCCTTGCTGTATCTCACACAGGGTGGGCTCGTGGTGAATGTAAGGACAGTAACACGCCCATGTGGTACACCCATTATTTTTTCCAGCCTTCTGAATAACATGGCCCAAGGAGCATCTGAGGAACTTCAAGACATCCTGGCTTTGTGCTGACAGCTACCATCAGCGCTCAGGAATCCAGCAAGGTTAGTCCAATGGCGCTCGGTGTTACATTGCCCTGAGCAGAGAGGGGCATTAGGGGCAGCTCCCTTGTAGTCCGGTTAGGCTATGCTCATGGGCTTCTCTGCCACCTACCTTTTCAAACACAGGAAAGTATCTAATTATAGCCTTCTGGGCCATGTTAACCACTTCCTTTTGTTGATCATCTGGTTTTAGAAAAGGATGCATGATAATCAGTTCCAGCAGATCTAGCGTCCCCTCCACGTACATGTCAATCCTTAAAACAAAAAAAGAAGTTTCCTCAGTTTCCCCGAACTCATCGGCTTCCACAACTAAGAATTCAGAGTGCTTTTCTCTTAAGGCTCTGGCTACCGAAGTGCCCAGAAGCATTTATCTATACCTGTCTCCAAGAGCAAAGATGCAAAGTCAATTCTAATTGTAATTCAGAAAAATCCGTCACAGATCAGAAAGCACAAGAGTCATGACGTCCCCCTCTCCCGGGCCCCTAATCCTCTACCCTTACTCCAGTACCCACGCTTGGTGTGGGTGGATTTCACATTTATAAAAAGAGCGGAGATCATTTATGGAATGCTTGGTGTGTACGAGGGCCATGGTGCTAAAAAGCTCTACACCCAATATTTCATTGACTCCAATGACACTATCAGGTATGTGCTCTCCATATACTGTACAGGACCCTCAGTGGGACTGTGGAACCCAGCACCTCGCCCTATATCATGCATTTTAGGAGGTACAAGGACCAGGCTTTGAGTTCAAAAATATAATTGAATTTATAATCAAGGCACAGTATCCCTGACCTTGACTGGTGTAGCAGCTTCCTGTTCTTCATACTTCATGATAATAAATTTGCGAGAAAGGTAAAAAGCAGTATCAAAGCATTTAAAGATGCTGAAACCTGAAACAATCACGCCCCAGAGAGAAGATCCAGCATCTGAACTCAATTATTCTCTATCCTCTTACCAAGACTCTGTACGGATTATTCCCTGTTTACACTAAGGATACGAGACACAAAGGAGACGGGGCGTGCTGTGGAGACTGCTAATCAGCTAAGGTATCAGTGAGTGACAAGCGAGAACACTTGAAAGGGCCACAGTACAGGGTTCTCTCCTTGAGGTCCTTGCCAAAGAGGTGGTGCTTATCCGCTATGTAGTGGAGGATGCTTCGGGTCTGCACCAACTTCATTCCATCAATTTCAACCATTGGCACTTGTTGGAACAGCAGGTGATTTCCTGAGAATGAAGGCCCAGAGTTAGAACTGATCTCTTCCCTGTCCCCGTGCCCCTAAACATGCCCAATCGAATGAAAAGGGACCGTGGGGTCAGAGCCTTGGGAACACTGCGATGCTCCCTGATGACAGATACCCTCAACTTCATTCAGGGGAGCAGACTGAACCATCAAAGAAGCCTGAAAACCAGCACTGTTCTAAACCTTCCTTTTTCATTTTCACCCCAGGGGGAAATACCTACCCACCATGGCAAGGGGCGGGAGAGAATGCAGTGAAGATATTTCTGCAGGGCTGCCCTAGCCAACATAGCAATCAGCTGCTGCATGTAACTAGTGAAACCTAAATTTAATCAAAATTCTGAAAAATGTAGAATTCCATTCTTTAAGCACGCTCGACACATTTCAAGTGCTAAGTAGGCACACGTGGCTAGCAGCTATGACATCGGGCTGAGAACAGAAGGTTTCCACCACTGTAGAATGTTCTACAGATTGCACTGCTTTAGAAAATCTGAGCATAAAACCCAAGTCACCAACTGACACTCGTGTATGCACTGGCCCTTCCACAGCCACAGACCACATACGACCAAGTTCAAGGTCAGTGATCGAAAAGTAACCCACTGCTTTCTTCAACAAAGATAAGTATTGAGGTTTGTTGTTTATACATGCAGAGATGCAAATATAGGCTCGCCCAGGCCTCAAGGGACTCAAGGATGGGGGTTACCTGAGGTCCTGGGGGAGATGAGTACTCCGCACAAGCCTAGTGACATCAGGCCAGTGTCATGCATGAAGGCTGACACTGCAGCTGGTCCCTCTCTGGGGAGCCTTCAGTTGGGCCGAGAGACGCTGCTGATGGGTGGGAGGGAGGCTACTTAGAGTCGCTGGGTAAGGGAGCCTGGGAATGGAGGGAGAGGGGCTGACCAGGAGTTAAAGGGGGGGCCTTTCACTGAATTCATTTCTGTCTGGTGTTCACCCCAGTGTAAATGGGGACCTCTGTCTGCATACTTCAAGCAGACACCGGTGGGTGCCTCAGACAATTTGGAAGGAGCGAGGTGGGGAAGATGAAGAAGAGGGAAGGGATGAAGGAGAGGACAAAAGAAGGGAGGGAGAAGTCAGAGTCGGGCAGGAGGAGGAGAAAGGGATGGAGAAGGGCTGTTCACCTGAGGGTTCACTCCCTTTAGCTCTCAGGAAATTACTGACTAAAAGTGATTTCCTTGCAATTTCAGTCATTTCTCCCCCTGGGTTTTAGGATACTGTCCTGAATGTTCAGTGTCAGCATCTTTGCCCTTCCACATAAAGACCAATTCTTAAACAAAATCATTCTTGGGGCGCCTGGGGGGGCTCAGTCGGTTGGGCGTCCGACTCTGGATTTTGGCTCAGATCCTGATCTCAGGGTCGTGAGGTAAAGCCCTGCATTGGGCTCTGTCCTTAGAGGGGAGTCTGCTTGAGATTCTCTCTCTCCCTCTGCCCCTCCCTTCTGCTTTGCTGTATCTCACAAAGCGTGCTGTATCTCACTTGCACGCACACACACGCTCTCTAAAAATAAAAATAAATCTTTAAAAAACAAAACCTGGGGAAACAATCAATATTACCAACAGTTATTTCATTTCCATACTCACCATCCTGCAACTTCTGTAACTGTTCTTTTGTTTCTAAGAATTCTTCATCAAACTAAATTAAAAGAAAAAAAGATACCCCCCCCCCCAAGAAGGCATAAGTCATTATAGGATCAGGACTGAAAATACCAAGTCAAACTGTCTCAGAAACAGAGAGAAAGACCAACACTTAGCACCCACATCTTGGTTTCCCACTATAAGAAACCAGGGCTGGGGCACCTGGGTGGCTCAGTTGGTTAAGCGTCTGCCTTCGGCTCAGGTCATGATCTCAGGGTCCTGGGATGGAGCCCCGTATCAGGCTCCCTGCTCAGCAGGAAGCCTGCTTCTCCCTCTGCCCCTCCCCCTGCTTGTGCTCTCTCTAGCACGTGCATTCTCTCTCTCTCTCAAATAAATAAATAAAATTAAAAAAAGAAAGAAGTTTAAAAAGAAACCAGGGCTCCTGGGAGAAAAGGTTGATGGTAGTAGATTCGAAAGCAAAGAAGAGCTCAAAGACCAATGAGATATGGCCAAGGCAAAGGCATGGAGGACCCTACTTGAGGCGAGTCCCTAGCCAAATTTGGGACAATTCAAGCATCAAAGAGTAATGTCACTTACGGATCATCACACACACCAACAAAAAAAAAATCCCTGTGTCCTTAAGTGATGATACTCAAAAAGGTAGAAGAAAAAGTTCTTTTTTACAGAAGAATTAGTGCTAACTAATGATAAAATTAGGATATTACCATTTTGTAACCTATAAGTGATTCTGATAAGGATCAAAATGGATGCTGAAATCACTGAGTTATAAGGCACAGAATATTCAAACAACCTTGAAGTCTCAGCCCACAAGTTAATTATGACAAAGGAAAAATATAGCTTTGTGGTGAAAAGGTCTGGAGATCTCACCATCTATCTAACCAAGTGATCAAACTTAGCTCCCCACTGGGGGACATGGAGATGTCGTGTGCTTCCTGCTGTGACCAATAAGAAGGGCACAGTAACACTGTAACCCAGATCCAACTGCAAGGTGAAAATCAGGCATAGCCAGAATGTGGGGCACTCTGCAACAGAGATGGCCGGGACTCTCTCAAACCTACAGAAAACTTGTTTTGGGAGCACCTGGGTGGCTCAGTCGGTTAAGCGCCTGCCTTCGGCTCAGGTCATGATCTCAGGGTCCTGGGATCGAGTCCCACATCGGGCTCCCTGCTCAGCGGGGAGTCTGCTTCTCCCTCTTCCTCTGCCTCTCCCTCTGAGTCTCCCCTCTTCTCGTGCTCTCTCTCAAATAAATAAATAAAATCTTTAAAAAACAATTTGTTTTGTTTGTGTTTAAGCTTCTTCCGGGTGTGCAAGGTTTGAGAACAGGTTTGAGGGATTTGCCTCTGGCATTCCCACTCTACGCTCTTCACCACTTATCTGGCTCTCCTTTTCTAGACCTCCATTCACTTCCCACCTGAAAACTTGAGGCCCATTGTCCAAGGACAAATCTTTATTTAAAAGAGATTTGACTTTAGCCAGGTAGCCCTCCTCTGATGATTCTTCTTTATGGAATTTGGTTTCCAAGTTCATGCAAAAGAGTCAGTTTCTCCTTTCCACATTTCTTTTCAGTTAAGTCAAGGAAGGGCATGGGAGGGAAAAAGGAATAAAAAGCAGGTACTATTCTAGATGAAAACAGACTAAAGAGACAAAATAACCAAACACCTGAATCCTGATTAGATCCTGGATATTGGGGGCAGGGGAGGGGGGGGTGGGCAGTTATAATTGCTAAATAGGTAACAGGTATATAGACATTTGGGGGACAGTATGGAACTTTTGAATATGGATCATATATTGCTATTGTAAAATTAGTATCAATTTATTAGTTGTGACAATGATACTACAGTTATTAGAACAATTACTTTTTCTTTCATAGGAGGAAAATACATGTTGATGTCTGCAACTTCCTTTCAAATGGTTGACCAAAAAAAAAAAAAAAAAAGTAGAGAGAGGAGGGGAGAAAGCAAATGTAGCAAAATGTTAACAATTAGTGAATTTAGTTGAAAGGTGTCCATTATCCTAGCTTTTCTGTAGGTTTGAAAGTTTTCAAATTAAAAAGTTGGGGTGGGGGAGAAACAGTGGAAGCACGTTCCTCTTCTTGCACATTAAAAAAAATGTGTTCTAATGCACTAACGTGATTCATGTCAAGAAGGGGAGACCTCCTCTCACCAAGTCCCCCGATGACTCCCCACCCATGTCTGTCCCTGTGCTGCTTCCCCAAATCGTCTGAGGGAGCGGCAGAGCTGACCAGCACAGAAATCAGCAATCCTCCCCTCTTCTGGCTCCACTACCTGACTTGGGGGTTGAATCAAAATAATGGGGTGTAGGTACAGCTTCTGCTACTTGCCAGGATCCTCACGGAGCAAGAGGGGTCTGGCAGGAACTCCATCTGGTGCCTGCTAAGCAGCAACCTCAGGGCAAGAATGTTCAGGGCAGGGCACCTGGGGAGCTCAGTTGGTTAAGCGTCTGCCTTCAGTTCAGGTCATGATCCCAGGGTCCTGGGATTGAGCCCTTCATCAGGCTCCTGGCTCAGCGAGGAGTCTGCTCCTCCCTCTCCCTCTCCCTTTCTCTCTCAAATAAATAAATAAAATCTTAAAAAAAGAAAGAAAGAAAGAAAGAGAAAATTTCGTTCAGGGCATTTGTCCAAACAAACAGATGTAGTGCAGATGGTGCTCCCTCCGTACTACGGCTCGCAAACTTTTATAACCATGATCATTTAGAGCAAATAGTAAGGTGTGTGTGTGTGTGTGTGTGTGTGTGTGTGTGTGTGAATCCAGGCCCACTCTTCAGAGATTCACATTCAGTAGTTGAGAGAGACTAGAAATGTACATTTTTAAAAGCAAATCTTTCTGGGGCGCCTGGGTGGCTCAGTCGTTAAGTGTCTGCCTTCGGCTCTGGTCACGATCCCAGGGTCCTGGGATCGAGCCCCACATCGGGCTCCCTGCTCTGCGGGGAGCCTGCTTCTCCCTCTCCCACTCCCCCTGCTTGTGTTCCCTCTCTCACTGTGTCTCTCTCTGTCAAATAAAAAAAAAAAAAAAAAAAAAATCTTTAAAAGCAAATCTTTCTAAAGGGTTCTGATTCTGGCTTTTGACTTCCTGGGAACATTATGCAAGATGTGTGTGATCTCTCACCAGGGACACTCTTGTGTCCAGCTTTACAAAATGTGGTCAGTAAGAAGCACCTGGCACGGGAACTGCAGATGAGAAGGTGGGAGAGGAAAGAAAAAAATCCCAAGGCAGAGCTTGGAGGGAGCTTGGTGTTGTGCAAGGCTGCAAGGACAGACACAGTGCGTCGACCTTTGCTCCCTAACCAGGGCCCTGTTCCCAGTGGGATACGCTGGAGACCTGCCCTCTTGCTCACCACACCTCTCCCTTTTCAGCACTCTGTCAAGTTTATGGGAATTGCCCAGAAACCCTGAGTTAGGAGTTTGTGGGACTGGAGTCTTCTTCTACATGTGTTACTCTCCCTCTTAACACAGGGGATCGGACCAGGCTTCTGGGGGGTCTTCAGGCAAATAAAGCCCCAAGCAGCAACGAAGCAACACTTGGCAAACAGCAACAGCAATGCCTACGGACCCAAACCAAGTGACTGAGAGCGAGGATGCTGACTCTCCGAATCAGGCAGGCTGCCTTTCAGCAGGTTTTGGTTACCGAGTGACTCACATGTGTGTGCTTTACACATCAGGCTCAACCCAGCACTGTGACACTGGGAATCATGGACTTGCCCAGTGGGCTGCCAGCCCCTCCTCCACAACTGTTTCTGTGCTTAACTAAACATGTGCTTTGGAAAAGAGAAGTGGAGGCCCCCTCACCAATACTACCTTTGGGGAATGGCTCCTATAAACCATGTGGCTGGCCCCAAGTAAGGGAGGCTAATCTAGGACCCTCCACACGGGTCGGAAGGGTGGGCTTGGGACCCGCTGGGCCAATAGTCTGCCTCACCTGTGTGTCTACTGGGACTGGTCTAGGGGAGGTGGGTCATGTGACCCATGTTCTTTTTTTGTTTAACTTACTTAGGGTTGGTTTTTCTACTGCTGTCACCAAGAATCTTGACTCATACACAGGGGAGCAGGAGGAATAGGGGAGAATGAAGGTTGGAAAGAAAGGATTTGACAAAGGATTGTATTAAATGCACAAGTAAGACACCCATTGCAAACCTATTAAATAAGCCACATCTGCAAACTCAGAAGCACACAGACAAAAGACAGGTGACATGAATAAGCCAAGCAGGTTCAGGTCACGGGACCAAAAATTTTTTCACTCAAGGGGCGCCTGGGTGGCTTAGTCATTAAGTGTCTGCCTTTGGCTCAGGTCATGATCCCGGGGTCCTGGGATGGAGCCCTGCATTGGGCTCCCGCTCGGCGGGAAGCCTGCTTCTCCCTCTCCCACTCCCCCTGCTTGTGTTCCCTCTCTCGCTGTCTCTCTCTGTCAAATAAATAAATAAAAAGTCTTAAAAAAAATTTTTTTTTTCACTCTCAACACAATTAGAAAAATCTATCCTGAGACAACAGGGAATGATGGGGAGTGTAATGAGCTAGAAAGGTCCATCTATAGTGGCAGTCCTTCCTTACTCAGATTTAGCAATTACAGCCCTCTGAAAATGAGGACCTAGTATCATCAGATCTTCAAATATATCAAGAGAAGTCAGAAATCAGAATTTGTATATAAAAATGATATCAACTGATTTAGCTAATTTTAAAACACTGTACAGTGAGTTAGAATGATATGCAAAGAAATCATAACCAAAACCAACCAAACAAAACACAAAGCCTCAAACCCAACAACCCTCATTTGCCATCTTTGGAGGTTGCTAGGGTAACGACCGAGTAGTCTAAAAATTGATAAAGAGACTATATCAAGCATTTACCTGACCGTTCCCAAATGCACTGTACTTCAAGGGAATTAAATAGTTAAGTTAAAAATTACTCTTTATAAGAGAAACACAGTTAATAAATTCAGATGCAATGACAGAAAGAAACAGAAAAATCACCATTTTATAATCCCTAACGATGGTGATGATAAATAGATGCTAAAATGGCTAGTTGAGAAGGTAACGGAGGAAATTTTGTAATGCATGGATCAGGCCAACATCACCAGAACATGCTGATCAAGCCCAGCATTGCTGAAAAGGAGACAGTCAGACATCATGCATCCTTTGATGTCGTATAATAAAAACATGTTCACAGTATCCCTATGATGGAGTCTGGCAGGCAAAAAAAAAAAAAAAAAGTTTAGAGATAGAAAAAAATGAGCCTGGATTTGATCACAGCTCTCGGTCCAACTAGCAGTTCACAGGAAATATAGGAATAGAAGAATATGTTAAAATGAGGGTAAAGCAGCCAAATCTGTAATGGGGTAAATTCTACAGGGCAGTTTCTTCTACAAATAAATGGCACTAAAAACAAATACAGACACTTAGCACTCAGCTCTTGGTTGCTAAAACCATTTGGTGGTAAAAGGGACCATGATTCCTTGGAGAAATACCAGACTCTAGGGCGAGGGCAAGGAAAATACAAGATGAGCCTGGAGCATCTTGAAGTGTCAGAAAGTAAGAGAGAGCTGAAGGGAAAGAAAAGAAAAGGGAGTGTGGAGCCATGTACACAGGTGTGATGCAGGAGCCAATGACCAAAGTGGGACAATTTGGGCAAGAAAACATTATTATTGGATTATAACACAAAGCATAAAATAAATACTATAAACTTACGTCCATACTGATATAAAGAAATGCTTGAATAGATAAATGGCGGAGGAAAAAAAACCCCAAATCTCTCTTACGTAAGAATTCTAAATGCAGATACCTCCCCCTCCAGCAGGTGTGGTTTACTTCCCACCCTTTTGAGTGCGGGCTGAGCTTAATGACTAGTTTTGAAATAATAAAGAGGAAAATAATCCCTTTACAAGGAAGAAACCTGGCAGACACCACCTTAGCCAAGTGACCAAAGTTAACAGCACCAGGGATAACTCATGTTAATATCACCCCTAGTATGATGCAAGGAGAAGGGCACTTGACCTCTGTGCTGGTCTTCCCCCAAACCCCAAACCCTACTCCAATCAACATCAAACAAACCCAAACTAGGGAGTTCTACAAAAATTCTGATCAACAGTTTTCAAAACTGTCAACATCATGAAATAAAAGAAAGACTGAGGAACTGTGACAGATTGAGAGAGACTTAAGGAAACACAGTGACTAAGTATAAGGTTGGATCCAACAACAGTAAAGGACCTGATTGGCAAAACTCATTAAATTTGAATAGTCTGCGGTTTAGTTGTGCACCAATGTTAATTTCTTAGTTTTGACACGATTACGTAAGATGATATCATTAGGGGAGACTGAGTGGTCTTTATATGGACTGTCTTTACAACTTCGCTATAAATTTAAAATTATTCCCAAATATAAAGTTAATTTATATTATGCAGAGGAAACTGTTACAGATTTTAAAAACACTGAAAGAAACATAACCAAATGCAATGTGTGGGCGTGATTTAGATCCAGACTGGAATAAACTTACTATAAAAAGACCTGTTTGAGACAATCAGGCTGTTCAGATATTAATAAGGAATTGTTCATTTTGTCAGGTGCAATTGTGGTACTGTGGTTATGTTTTAAAATCCTCATCTTTTAGAAATAAAAACTGAAATACTCATCACAGATGAAAGGATATGATGCTTGGATTATTGCTTTAAAATATTCCCACAAAAGAAATGGAGGAGATGGATGAGACAAGAGCAGCATTTTAAAGCAAGTGACTTTTGAAACTGGGTGAGGGGAAATGCATGGCCATGTTTTCTCAGTCTCTGTATCAACTCAACATTTCCATAAATAAGAAGCTAAGAGAACAAAAAGAAAGATAAAAACACTGTGATCAAAGCCTACACTATACTAGACAGACAAGAAGGCTCCAGGTTAGAAGCCACTGAAGTGAAGTGGAAATTTACCTACAGATTGTGTTAATTCACAAAAGTCGTCCCTGGCAAATTTCAGGTCCATGCCTTTTCTCCTTATTAATAAATACTTACTGGTGGCAGATCAGAAGCTAATGATTAAGTAAAAAGTCTAAAGTAAAATAGAATTCCATCAACCACATTTCATTTATAAAGAAAAAAACCCTGGCAAAGAAGGCATCTTCTGACTCAACCAAGCCTGTCTGTGTTAGGGGGGAGAAAGCTAGAACAGGACTCCGCCATTGATGTTTTCCTCAAACGCCTCAAAGTTGTACGACAAATCTGTGAAGAAACAGCATATAGGGTACCTCGACTCCAGCGGCAGCTAAAACCCATCTTACGGATTCCATCCGGCCTCTTCCGTTAGGATAGTGGAGTTTGGGCTTCGCTGCCATGATGGCCTTTCAGGCTTTCTGGAGAAAAAAAAAAAAAACCACACACACACACACACAAAAACCAAGTGCGCAGCTCCTCGTAGACGAGCAGTCTTACTTCGTGTCTTCAATTCTGTGCTCACGGCCTAAATGAATATTCAGGATTTTGGCACAGGAAATCGGTTTTGTTGTTTGTTTGTTTGTTTGCTTTTTTTTTTTTTTTTTATGACTGCGTTTTCCCTCACTCAATAAAAACCTAACACCATTTCCAAATATTAAAAGAAACAACCACCTTGGTTTTCACACCGTTTCTACTTATGACTTCTTATTCTGAATCGGGAAGCTGTCATATACTTTGACCTTGAAAATTTTAAATTTTCCAAATTCGGCCTGGAGAGGCAAGACGCGGAGGGCCGTGGGGAATTATGCACCCTTTGGAACCCTTGCTCTCACAAGCATCATTATCGGTTATCACAGCAACTGGGAGGTGGACGGGCCGAGCAACACTATTGTCTGCAAAATGTGCGTCCGTCGTCCTGCCTGCGGTAGCTTCCCCCTGGGCCCCGCGCGTCCCCCACCCCAACTGGGAGTTGAGCCTCCCACCTTCGGAATGCGCCCAGGCCACGGACTCGGCCACCCGAGACTAGACTCCTGGGCTACCCGGGTCCCCGCTCAGCCCCCGCTACACCGGGGCTTTGGGAGGATCCGAGCTAGTCTCGCACTGAAACCGGCGGATTCAGATCCGCAGAGCGGGTTAATAAAAATACGCACACGCAGCCAAGAATGACCCCAGCCCAGCAAAGGAGCCCACGTCTGCCCAGATGGGGGCGGAGGCGCCAAAAGGACCGGAGGGAGGGAGACGAGAAGGGCTGAATGGGGGCTGGGGAGAGTTGCGACTGACGATGGAGTAAGAGGCTTGGGGCCGAGGAGTGGAGGGAAGGAGAAACGCGGCGAGGGGAGAGGGCGGGTGGGGGCGGCAGGAGGGAGACAGACCTGCAGTCCGCTCGGAGCTCCCGGAGCCGTACAAAGCGCTCGGCGAGCTGTCTTCAGCGAGGCGGGGCCAGCTGGCCGCCAGAAGGCGCTCCGGTGGGCGAGGCTCCGCGAAGTTTCACCAATAGAGACGGCAATGTTTAGCATGCCCCACCCATGTGCAAGGCATTCTGGATACTATGAAAATAGCCCAAATTCAAGGCAATTTCAACAAAAATTTTAGTCTTGTGCGAAAGAAATGGCCATTCTTAGGTTGGTTAGATTACAACTTTAGTTAAAAGAGACGTGGTAGAGATCCGGTATGGTTAAGGCAACTCGACCTATGCGAAAAGAAAAATTCTTTTTAGGGTTTATATATCTCGTGCGCAGCACTGTTTCTCGGATGTGAGGGCGATCTGGCTGCGACATCTGTCACCCCATTGATCGCCAGGGTTGATTCGGCTGATCTGGCTGGCTAGGCGGGTGTCCCCTTCCTCCCTCACCGCTCCATGTGCGTCCCTCCCGAAGCTGCGCGCTCGGTCGAAGAGGACGACCTTCCCCGATAGAGGAGGACCGTTCTTCGGTCAAGGGTATACGAGTAGCTGCGCTCCCCTGCTAGAACCTCCAAACAAGCTCTCTCAAGGTCCATTTGTAGGAGAACGTAGGGTAGTCAAGCTTCCAAGACTCCAGACACATCCAAATGAGGCGCTGCACGTGGCAGTCTGCCTTTCTTTTCCCAATAAAATCTTAAATATTTTTTAAAAAGCACAAACACCACCACAACACTTTGCAAATTCACAACAGCTATAACTAATTCGTACAGCTATAACTAATTCTGAAGCCTCTTAAAGCAGGTAAAGTACCTACAAGAGGACAAAGTACTTCTATAACATACTATTAAACAGAACCCATATATTTATTATTAAACAGAACTTAAATTGTCTCATTCTGTATATAGATCATACACATATTTTTTTTTCCCGTTTCTTTCTTGACCCCATGATCATCTTGAGCTTTCCCTTCATTTCATACACTTTAAAGACAACCACTCCAAGTCACAGGCTAAACAGAGCACCTTCCTGGAGGGGAGGAAGGGGGGCATTGGGGTGGAGGTATCAGTGGGGCTAAAAAAGTAATTTGGTTGGTAAATAAGTTAAAACTTTAAAAAATAAAGTAAAGCCATCAAGGCTATATTACAGAGTAGAAGGCAGAATTCACATGGATCTCAAAGTTTAAAACATATGCCTTCAAAAGGACTGAGAAACTATTTCTTGTTATTAGAGGCAGCTTCTGCTATTTCTCAAACTATAGATGTTGATTACTGTTTCCTCCATGAGGGGCTCTTGAGAGTACCTGCCTTGAGAAACCTGCAGCGCTGAACAATGGCAGCAAAGAACAAGAGATTTTAATTTCAGTAGATTCCTGTAGCAGGAGTGTGGAGAATGAATTGGGGCGGTGGGAAGGGGAGAGAGAGACCTATTAAATACCCGTGTGTATTAAAGTAGCACCATGAATTTGAAGATGATGGCTATGAAAAGGTAAGATATTAAGGAGGTGGAAGGTAACAGATTTACTAATCATATCACAGGGAGCAGAGGAAAGGAAGAGAAAAAGTCTCCCCCCAAACACATACATTTCCTTTTCCACCCTCCTTCTGTATTTTTCATAACATTTATTGTCATCAAACATATCAGGTATTTTATTTACATATTTTGTTATCTGTTGGGAGATTTAATAGAATGCAAATACCACGAAGTTAGGAATTTTCATAGTTTTTAAAAATATGATTTTTGTATACCCTGCTCCTAGAATAATGCTTAGCCCAGAGTAGGTATTCAGAGAATATGTGTTGGAAAAATGATTACATGAATGAACATTGGTTGGGTGGAGGAGGACAAGGTTTGGGGAAAATAATGAGTTTATTTCTTTCATTCTTACAAGCCATTCATCTGGAAATGTCCACTAGACAGTTAAATAAATGCCAGTGAGGACTCAGAAAACATGACTGAGATGGATCCAACTGGCAGCAAAAGGATGAGCTTATCCAGAAAAGTATGTAAAGTAAGAGAAGCAAGTCAAGAACAGCGGGGCACCACAAGAATCAGAGAAGTCACTTACAAATAAGACTAACAGTATATGTTCAATTTCACCTTTCTAATTCTGACTTAACACAGACAATACTCAGTTTAATGTGGGTAGGCAGTCATATTTTCCAAACCTGCTGAAAGTGATTATTCTTTATTTTTTCTAACCCATCTTTCTGCAAGAATCCACTTTAAGCAAACTAGATAGGACAAGTATTATTCAATTTTGTTTATGAACCAAATATTTATCTCCATTTCCTTATTTCTAATGAGTTGAACCATATCAAATTGCTGATATTTTACTGTATTTCTCCAACCTATAAAAATGTCAACTTCATAAGTCCAACCTAATTAATACAATAGTGGTAATATTATCCCTAGCAGTCTTGTTTACCTGAATGAGAAACTAAAGCAGTATCATAAGACTCTATGATTACATAGGCTTGTGGAGAAATAAATTTCTGTGCCATTTTATAACAGGTACATTTAGGTCATTTTATTCCTTGTAAGGAAAGAGGGAAGCAATTGGCTTACTTTCAGCCTTGGCTATAAATGACTGGTATCAGAGACCGTATTCTTTTTTTTTTTTTTTAGATTTTATTTATCTGACAAAGAGAGAGACAGCTAGAGAGGGAACACAAGCAGGGGGAATGGGAGAGGGAGAAGCAGGCTTCCCGCGGAGCAGGGAGCCCGATGCGGGGCTCGATTCCAGGACCCTGAGATCATGACCTGAGCCCAAGGCAGACGCTTAACGACTGAGCCACCCAGGCACCCGAGACTGTATTCTAACAGCAAGTAGTTTGTCAATTTTGGGGAGCTAAGTTTGATCACATTGTTCTATTCTTGGAGACCCTTGCGGTCACTCTCAATCTGGGATAGTCTTAATCATAGTGGATAGTATGGTAGTAGATAGTAGATAGATTCTACCTACTTGATTTGTTTTCAGTGCCCAGGTAAGTCCTTTCTTTGACTTTTGACAATTTAATTATAATAAAGCATATTATAATTTAATTATAATATAATAGCATGTCACAGCCCTATTTGGGTTCAACCTATTTGGAGTCTTTTGGGCCCCATTCATGGATCTGGATGCCCATTTCCCTCCCCAGGTCTGGGAAGTTTCCAGCCATTGTTGCTTTAATATACTTTCTGTCCGTTTCTCTTTCTCTTCTCTTTCTGGAATTCTTATGATATGAATATTGTTTCATATTGTGTCCCATAATTCATTGTGTTCCATAATTCCCATAGGCTTTTTTCACTCTTTTTCATTCTTTTTTCTTTTTCTCCTCTGATGGGGTAATTTCCAGTGTCTCATTCAGGTTGCTGATTC